CTGCTAGGAGTGAAAACGACTAGCAGGTGGCTTGGAGCTCTAAACACTTCCCTGAGAGCTAAGGCTTCCTCAGCTACTACAAACTCCCAGGAAACGTCCCTACGGGCTTGGAAAACAACCCTTCACCTTCTAGCTCTAGGCAAAAGGAGGAAAACACGGGAAACTACTCCTTCAAACATCAAAAGTTCTAACTACACTCCAAGTGCAGCCAAACGTGCCTGTAGCACCGTGCTTCCTAAGGAAAACAAGAAGTCGGCCCGGACGCCCACCTTTATCCTCCCAACAGGAAGATAAATGTTTACACCCCTTCTGGGCGGTCGGGTCACACATCCTTCTTTACAGCGACTTGAAGTCTGGATGGTGCCCTTGCGCAGATGCTGCAAACCCGGCGTGTCAGCGGAGTGGAATGACGAATGCTGTTGCATTCACGACTTAGGTGATAGCACTCGCCTCTTGTGGTAAGGAAAAGTTCTGGCCACGGAAGCTCCTGCTTGGCAGTGAGACGGCTCGCGAGGCACTGAGTGACCCCGAGGAAGACACACCCCGTCACGAACCCTGTGGCAAAGAAAAGACAGAGCGGCACCAAGAGAAACTGCCCTTCGTCGAAAGGTAAGCGAACCATGGCATCCTTGAACACCTGGAGACCGTAGTGGTCCATTCCGTTGGCAGGATGGCCGCAAAAAGAAGATTCGAGGCGAAATGGCTGCACAGAGGAACTTAGTCACTCCAGACACTCCAAAACCCTCCTACACAGTATCTCCGGATAGTGTTGTGTTTCTCGAAGTACGAAACGGAGAGAGTGGTCGTGCGACTTGTCGCACCGAAAAAAAATCAGACCACTCGCGACCCTGGTGTGTGTGACCATCACCCTCCAGCGCTTGGCTATAGGAAGCCCGTCATTCCCAAGAAGGCCGGCGGCACAACCGTCAACGTATGAGGTGTGCCCTGGGTGGTCCAGGCGTTCAATCAAAGACTCTGCCTGCTTCCAATAGGCACATCGGGCAGGCCACTCCACTGCCCAGTGGTCCGCGAGATTGCACATGGTGCCATCCAGATGCTTCTGGTACTCCGTGCCGTACCTGTTGAGGTTTGTCAGGAAATTTTGCATTCCCATATCTTCAAAACATCTTATAAAAAATTTGCCTATTGGCAAGGACCTGAATATTTCAGAGATATGAAATGACGAACCGCAACGCGCACTCACTCGGTCACTTCTCTTTTTCAGTCGGGGGCGAAAGCACCCGAGGTGAGAGGCACACGCAACCGGCGAACCGCATCGTCCCCCACCAAAGGGTCTGTCAAGAACCGAATGGACATTAAAAATAGGGTCGGGAGGGCGGGACAAAAATTTTCACATGTGGCGAACCAGCCACGCCCTCGTGAGCCAATGTCCAAAGCATTCGGAACAATCATGATTTCAAGAGATCGCTTCCAAAAGAAAGATAAAAGAAGGGCAGGAAATCGCCCAAGGAAATATTTCACATGAACGAAAAAGGAATGCAAATTCGCTCCACTTTGGTTTCGCCTTTCCTCTCTCTCTCAGTCGCGCAGAGCAAGTCCACAAGTGAGACCACTCGTCAGCAGCCCTTTCAGCTGTTTAACGAACTAAAGCTAAACCGGCCCAAGATTTCCTATTTTGTGCTATAGGGCAAAGGGTCCGCCAAAGATCTGTATTTCCAAAAAATCTGGAATGTAAGTCGGCTACCTCCCTCTCGGTGGGGTGATGATAGATATCATGATTTAAGTTGTGGGGACGAGGTACTGGAGAGTTAGTGGAAAGGATAGTATGTCTTTGATACGCTTGAGTCATGGATAGTTCCGACCAATGGAGGCGAGGATGGCCTGGTCTTTTTCTATGTAAGCGTCGATAAGCATGCGCCGTCTGGAAGGTGCTAAGATGTTCAATGGAATCATGGTGTCGTAGAATATGGCCTAAATATTCGATACGGGAAGCAATTATTTTTTGAGAGGGTGAGAGAAGTTTTGGGGCATACTCATAGGCGAGCTGGGCTAAATACTCATTGGAGCATTCCGTTGTAGAGGGTTCAAGAACTTTATGATAAAACGAGCTCTTGAGGTTGAAAATTTGGCGTAGTACCTTGAAATGGAGTTTGTTAAGTTTAGTAAGGTGGGCCTGGGAATACATCTGCGATTCAGAGCCGTAGAGCAGAATTGCGAGCACAATCTGGGAATGAACTAATAGTTTTCTAGGGACTGAAATGGACGGGTGCCTGAAAAAATCATGCAGACACTTAGCCGCATGGGCCGCCTGCGCATAGCGCTTCTTGACATCCGCTGTTGCGGATGAATTGAAGGTAAGGACTGATCCTAAGTAATCAGCATGTGGGGTTGGCTCCACTTTTAGTTCTTTGGGGAGGAACGGATCAGGGCGAGTCTGGCAAAAATCACATTGGCAGGGATGTTGATCAGAATTCGTGAGATAAATCGGATCTGATGAATTGATTGCCAGGAGCTGGCACTTTTCATGGTTTAGCGCCATGCCTCGTGAGGAAGCGTGGTATTGTAGCGTGTGGAGAAATCTATGTAATGATAACCTCGTTCGAGAAAGTAGCACCGTGTCGTCAGCATATTCTATATCGGTAAGCTTGAAATCTGAAGTGAGTACAGAGGGGCGTGGACCATATACATCCGTATAGGCCTCATATGTATCATGGAATAAAACCGAAAGTGTGATCACAAATAAATAAGGTGACAGGGGACAACCCTGCCTGATACCCTGAGCAAATTTTTTAGACTTCGATGAGTAACCGGAGTCTTTAACAGTAAAGCGGCAGTCTCGATAGATGGATAGGATTGCTGCCGCGAAGGAGGCGGGGACGCCAACTCTGGTCAAGGCGTTTTGTAGTGCCTCGTGAGAAATTGAATCGAATGCCTGTGACCAATCCAGAAAGAGAGCATAAAAGGATTCTTGGTGTCTCTCATGAAGTTCGAGAAGACGTCTTAGGACAAAGAGCGGGGTAGAGGTAGACTTGCCAGCGCGGAATCCAAACTGGACTGGCGAGATACGGTCGTCTATCGCTGTTTTAAGTCGATAGTGGATAAGGGACGCATATATCTTGTAAACTGTATTGATAAGTGAGATCGGTCGATAGCTGGTAGGGAGTGTAGGGTCTT